TTTTAAAACGTTGTCTTGGGTGGTCGCTATAGACAGGGTTGTCTGTATAGACAGGTGTATGTATCACACAGCCGATAGCAGGGATGTCTAGGGTGGCCGCTATAGACAGGTGTATGTATCACACAGCTGATAACAGGGTTATCTAGAATGGCCGCTATATACAGGGTGGTCTGTATAGACAGGTGGATGTATCACACAGCTGATAATAGGGTTGCCTAGAGTGGCCGCTATAGACAGGGTGGTCTGTATAGACAGGTGGATGTATCACACAGCTGTAGAGTGGTCGCTATAGACAGGGTGGTCTGTATAGACAGGTGTATGTATCACACTGCTGATAACAGGGTTGCCTAGAGTGACCGCTATAGACAGGGTGGTCTGTATAGACAGGTGGATGTATCACACAGCTGATAACAGGGTTGTCTAGGGTGGTCGCTATAGACAGGGTGGTCTGTATAGACAGGTGAATGTAACACACTGATGATAACAGGGTTGCCTAAAGTGACCGCTATAGACAGGGTGGTCTGTATAGACAGGTGGATGTATCACACAGCTGATAACAGGGTTGTCTAGAGTGGCCGCTATAGACTGGGTGGTCTGTAAAGACAGGTGGATGTATCACACAGCTGATAACAGGGTTGTCTAGGGTGGTCGCTATAGACAGGGTGGTCTGTATAGACAGGTGAATGTAACACACTGATGATAACAGGGTTGCCTAAAGTGACCGCTATAGACAGGGTGGTCTGTATAGACAGGTGGATGTATCACACAGCTGATAACAGGGTTGTCTAGAGTGGCCGCTATAGACAGGTGTATGTATCACACAGCTGATAACAGGGTTTTCTAGAATGGCCGCTATATACAGGTGGTCTATATAGACAGGTGGATGTATCACACAGCTGATAACAGGGTTGTCTAGAGTGGTCGCTATAGACAGGGTGATCTGTATAGACAGGTGGATGTATCACACAGCTGATAACAGGGTTGTCTAGAGTGGTCGCTATAGACAGGGTGGTCTGTATAGACAGGTGTATGTATCACACTGCTGATAACAGGGTTGCCTAAAGTGACCGCTATAGACAGGGTGGTCTGTATGGACAGGTGGATGTAGCACACTGCTGATAACAGGGTTGTCTAGAGTGGCCGCTATAGACAGGTGTATGTATCGCACAGCTGATAACAGGGTTGTCTAGAGGGGGGCAGGGAGGCCACGTGTTCGCTGGCAGCCAATGGGCGCGCATTCTATCCGTGAGCTTCAGACAAACAGACAAACAAACAGACAGAATAAGGCAAATATATAGGTAGATAATTAATTGTGATGGTTATGTAATTTTGATCTTCATTGAATAAAATATATTGTGGCGAAGAAATATTTTATTGTTTAATTTAATATTATCCAATGAAAATATATTCAACAGATTATAAAAATATATATTAATCTGTATTTGTGAAATCATCTTTAAAATATTTCTTTGCTTGCTTGCTTAAGATTCTCTAGCTGGAAATAGTTTGGTTGAGTGGTTAATAATTTTCGACTCGTCGCTTTGACGTCATCAATAAATACTTTCACATCTTAGGATATTTCAAGGCTTGGTTTCTACGCTACAACTGGTGGAGAGACTGGACCGATACCAATTAAGAAATAAAAGAAAAATTGATTCTGTTGAACCAGAAGAAACTTCTATGAATGTAAAGAAGGAAGGTACTTAGGTAAGCAACTACGTTGTTCAACATCTGCCAAGGAACCCTTCCATTTTCTCCGGGGAGGATGGTGAAGATCTCCAAAAATGGTTAAAAGGGTATGCACGTGTGGCAAGGTACAACCATTGGGACGAAACCCTTTGTCTTACTAAAGTTTATTTTTATCTGTCTGGAACTGCTCTCAAATGGTTTGAGAACAACGAAGAAAGCATACAGACTTGGAAGGAATTCACATCTCAATTAGAGAATGTGTTCGGAAAAAAAGAAAATTCAAAATTGCAAGCGGAGAAGAAACTTAAAACACGGGCACAATTAAAAGGTGAAAGTACCGAATTTTACATCCAGGATGTCCTGTGCTGGTGCAAAGAGTTTGATCCTCAAATGAGCGTAGAAGATAAAATCTCCCACCTCATGAAGGGGATAGCTGAGGAGCTTTATCAAGCACTCCTACCGAGGGATGTACAGAGCACCGAGCAATTCATTACAGAATGTCGCCGTGTCGAAGCGCTCCGTTGTAGGCGAGTTACCCCAACCAGGTACGAGCGCCTACCAAATGTAGCCTCTCTCTGTGACCAGGATGACGGAGAAGATCTGTCATCGCTGATCCGAAAATTTGTCCGCGAAGAGATACAGCAAGCATTGGATTCTCCTCAAGAGGAGCCTAAAATCGCTGCCAATGAAGATTTAGTAAGGGAAAAGATCGTAAAGACCTTGGCGTCTATATAAGAACCTACAATAAGTCCCCCTCAAGCACCAAGGCCGGTATAAAATCCTAAATTTGAGGCTCAACCTAGAAATCCCCATCCTACATCTCAATATCAGAAACAAGGAAGAAGACGCGACACCAATGAATGGCGGACAACTGAGGGAAGGCCAATCTGTTTCTACTGCGGACGCCCAGGTCACGTCGTCCGCTATTGCCGTGACAGGAAGAGACACAATGAGGAAAGGAGAAAAGAATATTTCCAAAGAAAGCAAGACGCAATGGTATTCTTCAACTTTCGAGCCGAATCTCAGGACCCCAATGACGAATCATCGAGGAAAAATTTCACTCGCTACCGAAGCCCTACCTCATATCCCGGTCGAAACAGACAACATTTCTCACCTGCTAGAAGATCTAGCTGGACGCCCCGCCATTAAAACTAGATGATAGACCATATGGGAGGTAAGGCCGCAAATTTATAAAATCCTCCCTTGCCGACCACAGTGGAAAAAAAAAAACTACATTGACGTAAACATAGACCTACCAAGCCCTCATGAAGAAGATATCTCAACTGAAAGAAGACATCCACCGCAGTGACCTGAAAATATCCCTGGCCATAGTACTAGTTCTTAAGACTGACGACGTAAGTCTCCTGCTGAGCATCGGGTCGATGCTCTTTATAGGAGGAGGCTATGTGGCGAAGAAATATTTTATTGTTTAATTTAATATTATTCAATGAAAATATATTCAACAGATTATAAAAATATATATTAATCTGTATTTGTGAAATCATCTTTAAAATATTTCTTTGCTTGCTTGCTTAAGATTCTCTAGCTGGAAATAGGTTGGTTGAGTGGTTAATAATTTTCGACTCGTCGCTTTGACGTCATCAATAAATACTTTCACATCTTAGGATATTTCAAGGCTTGATTTCTACGCTACAATATAAAGTTTAAATGTATTTTAAACTTTAACTAGCCGAATGACCCGGGCAACGCCCGGGTTTTAACCCGATTAGATGCTTTTATTCAAATACTATTCGTTACAATTATAAATTGGCGCCGTGGATGTCATTCTTGTGAAACGTCCCTCTCCAAACTTTGTGTCTGAGAAGCGATATTTTTATAAAGAGATGATCTGGCTTTGTGTCTTCTGCTCGAATGGATGTTTTTCTGTTAGAATTTTGTTCCTGCATACTAAAAATGAACTGGCTTCACCCGTGGTCTCTGCTTTTTGGAATTTTTCCGGATATAATTTTGTATCTGATAATCAAATAGGATACAACAATATTGTCATCATCATTTTTTGAATAAAAAACAACTACTTTTTCCACAGAACCTGTCAATTTATTTGTTTATTGATTATTGATTGATGACTCTGATACTTGTATATTTTAATATAATCCAATTGTGCCTTATCCTTGGATTTGGTCTTATTACCTTGTGTTTATAATCTACTAGCCGAATGACCCGGGCAACGCCCGTGTTTTACCCGATTGAATGTTTTTATTCAAATACTATTTGTTACAATTATAAATTGGCGCCTTAAATAAATGCATATATTAGTTAATAACTATAGCCTATGTGCTTTATCTGTCTATGTACTGTTGGCTTCCGTAGGCGTCTCTTACTGGGTAAAAGAAAGAGAGGATTCCATTTAGTTATTAACTAATATATGCATTTATTTAAGGAGCGACCCGCTCCAACACAATAGTTACAAAAACAACAAAGCGAGTGGGGGGGGAAGGTAGGTGGCGTGATCGTAGCCAACCAATAGGAGAGCGCCATTCCAAAAAAAAAAAGCAAACGGTGACAGAGATGAAAAGAATTGATGACGCTCGTAACTGTATATAGAATAATCCAAATTGTGACTTATCCTTGGATTTGGTCTTATTACCTTGTGTTTATAATCTATAAACCAAATTGTACCTTATCCTTAGATTTGGTCTTATTACCTTGTGTTTATAATCTATAATCCAAATTGTGCCTTATCCTTGGATTTGGTCTTATTAACTTGTGTTTATAATCTACTAGCCGAATGACCCGGGCAACGCCCGTGTTTTACCCGATTGGATGTTTTGATTCAAATACTATTTGTTACAATTATAAATTGGCGCCTTAAATAATTGCATATGTTAGTTAATAACTATAGCCTATGTGCTTTATCTGTCTATGTACTGTTGGCTTCCGTAGGCGTCTCTTACTGGGAAAAATAAAGAGAGGATTCCATTTGGTTATTATCTAATATATGCATTTATTTAAGGAGCGACCCGCTCCAACACAATAGTTACAAAAACAACAAAGCGAGTGGGGGGGGGGGGGGGGGGCAAAGGTGGCGTGACCGTAGCCAACCAATAGGAGGGCGCCATTCAAAAAAAAAAGCAAACGGTGACAGAGATGAAAACTGATGACTGATTGTTGATTAGGAGATGAGGAATGACGCTCGTAACTGTATATAGAATAATCCAAATTGTACCTTATCCTTAGATTTGATCCTATTATCTTGTGTTTATAATCTATAATCCAAATTGTGACTTATCCTTGGATATATATTTTAATAATATAAATGAGAGAGAGTTTTAAAAATTGTAAAAAAAAAATGCATCGGCCTGGAATCGAACCCGAGGCGCCCCGCGTGGCACGCGAGCATTCTATAACTGAAACACCGATGCTTATAAACAACAGCCATATTTGGGTATTTATTCCATTGACAAAAGCAAACGGTGACAGAATTGTTGATTGATGACTCTGATACTTGTATATTTTAATAACAACCACAAAACATGCTGATATAAATTATTTAATATTTTATTGAATATTTTAAAATATATTAATAAAAATATTTAAAATATGTTAATAAAAATATGACAAAATGATTACATCAAAACAGATTTGATAAATATTTGACATTCATCACATAATTCATAGCTTGGTCTCGTTCAATGCTTTCTAAGAGAGATGTAAATTTAAATAAAAATAAAAAAATATCAAGATTCACTGATATCATTGAAAATCTTTTCAACACTAAATTCCGACTGAAATTTTAAAAATGGATTCAGAAATAAATTTGTTCAAAGCTATAAATAATGAAAACTTAGAAGAAGTGAAGAAGTTAGTAGAAAAAGGTGTAGGGGTAAATGTAAAGTTTCACTCTGAAGAAATGTTAAAAAACAATCAGGAAGAAAACGAATATGATTGGCGTGTGGTTCTTGAAGATCGCGATACCCCACTTCACCTGGCTTCAAGGAAGGGAAATTATGACATTTACAGATTCTTAGTAGACAATGGTGCAGATATAAATGCTAGTAATGTATATGGTGTAATAGCTTTACATAATTCTATATTCAATGGAAATTTTGAAATATTTTATGACTTGATTGAATCAGGTGCAGATTATAATGTAAAGATATATGACGGTCTTTCACTATTAATGCTAGCTTCACTGCAATATAATACAAGCTTTTTGAAAGAATTGGTTAAAAGGGGAGTCGATGTAGATGCCAAAGATGATACGGGGCACACAGCAATCTACTACGCATTCAAATTAAATTTTGAAAATTTCAGAATATTATATGATGCGGGGGCCGACATCAACATTTGTCCTAAAAAGAATGGACCATTGTTAGTGGATGCATGTAGATGGAATGCTCAAGAGGTTGTGGCATTCCTGATTAAACTAGGTGTAGATATAAATCAAAAAAGCCCATATGGCAACACTCCTTTAGCGTATACATTGAATTATCATAGTGATGAAATTGCAAAGGTATTAATAATGGCAGGCGCCATAATAGATTCCAGAAACAAAGTTGAAGATACCCCCCTGCATAGAGCAGCTAGTAAATTGGATGCAACCATTGTACAGACTCTTATTGAAGCTGGAGCTGATACGAACCTGAGAAATAAAAATGGAGAAACACCATTAATTACAGCTGCAATGACCTGTGTAGAATATATTTTAGAAGATGAATTTGATAATGAACATCTGAGGACTCTAGAATTATTATTGAGAAATACGGGTGATATAGATTTAGAGATTTTTTTAAGAAATAGGGAGGTTATAAATAACATTCTTATTTGTAGGCCAATCATACAAGAAATGATAAAGTATTTCGTCCTTCAGCATCCAACAATAAACAAGCCTGAAGATATTCACTTGCCAAAGGATTTGTCTGACTGGTGGAAAGACTGCCAGAGACAGGTACAATTGATGCAAAGTCAAATATTAGGTAAAAGTGATATTTCCCTATACAGTTTTTTGACAGAAACTGACCAACACAAAGTAATGGGATTTCTATCTAATGACGTCACAGGTCTACGACAAGCCATAAAGACAAACTTGCCTCTCTACAATGAAACCTTTCCTATTTACGCTGAATTTATTGAAGAACGTTTCAATAATAGTGTTGAATCTGCAATTTTACTTTGCAAATGCTTCTCAAAGACTAAGAAACTCGAATTTACAAAGGTGAATAAATTCATGATGCTGAAGATTGTAAAACAACTACATTCCTGGAATTGGCAACATTACCTTCATACTGAAATCGTCACAGAAAGGACGCATGATTAGGTGAATAACGAATTTTATCAAGTTCTCTGATATTATTATATTTTATATTATTATATATATATATAAATCTATAAATAAATCTATATTAATAAAATGCAAATTTCATAAGTGTTGTTCACTAAAAACTTTCGTTACAATGCATCAATTTCAACCAAATTTTCAACATTTATGTAAAACGAGATGGAGCAGGTTTTGCTTAACATCAAAATATATTTCCTAACATTAACATGCGTAACTTCGGTGTTATCGATTAAATACAAAAAAAATCAACAGAGTTTATTTTATTTATATATAAATACAAAAAAAATTCAACAGAGTTAATTTTTTTACATACTAGCTAATAATCTCAATCTAAAAAAATATTCAAAACAAGCAATTTTAAGATAACACCATATGTAAAACAGTCGGCCAAGAAAACAACAACGATATTACATCTTTCTCACATATTCACACACAATCCTGATTAATAATTAAAACTAATCTTTAACATTGTTTATTATACTTCATAATATATAATATTCGTTAGGCAAACTTTCACTCGGATAAAACCCGGGCGAAGCCGGGTACACATCCGCTAGTATTTAATAAATCTATCTAGTTTAAATATAAAAACTAGTCTCATATTGAATCAAATCTGTTTGTTAGATTGATATTGAATGCTTTTTTATTGTTTCAGCAGGTTAATGCTTAATAGATCACTCACTTATGTTTGTTCTTTATTCATCAATAATTTGATCTCACGGGCGAGTTTCGATATTTCCAATTACAAACAAGAACAAATATGATTATAGAAAAAATTACCTTTCAAAATAATTGTTATATTCATTTTTTTCTTAGGGCTTGAATTCTTGTCTAAAGTGTTTCACTTCTGTAACTCCTGCCGAAGATTCCTGTCTTTGAATAAACTTTACAAATGATGTCATATAGTAGCAGCGTTGTTAAATAAATACAATAAAAGTAAACCTATCAAAAATATATATCAATGGAAAATATTTTTGAAACTAAAGTTTTTACAATGGCAATATATATATATAGGAAAAAACAATTGAAAAAAAAAAATAAAAAGAAAGATGTGGATCGCTTTACTTGATTTATCAAGAAAATGGTTTGGCCAAATCAGGAAACAGGTTATATCAATGAATAGTTGATTTCTGCTCAACTATATGGCGCTATGTCGCCTAAAAAGCACATGTGCTTTATTTTAAGATGATATATTTTTTTCATAATATCAATCAAACATGTCTTACAAATGACGTCAATAAATGATGTCATATAGTAGCAGTGTTGTTGAATAAATATAATAAAAGTATAACCTTATCAAAAATATATATCAATGGAAACTATTCTGAAACTAATGTTTACAATGCTTATATATATATATGGTAATATAAACCAACAACCCTATATTGTATAATACTTATAACAAGATTGTCATGTTGTATATAGAAACACATCTATAAATGATTATACGCATGATTGACATGTTTCATTGCATCACCATATGTAATGTACTTTGTACAAACTGAGGATAAATAAATTAAACTATGTAATAGATTAAGAGCTGAGTTAAAGCAAGATTGAGAAGTTCAAAAACGTCTAAGAAAGAGGTCGAGATAGAAACCCTAAAGAGGAATTTAGCGAGTCGTTGCCATCAAGGTCAAAAAGGGTGCAGAATGCCGCAGACGTTCAAAGTCCGAATTCTCCTCCCCCCCCTCGGCAAAGATATAAAACCTCGGGTTTTAGCCGAACGCAGACAGTCACTTCACCGTCGGCGTGAGCCCTTGTTGGTTGCAGCCAGGTCCACCTCATCGATCATGTAAAACAGTAAGAAACCTTCTTTCTCCATCTTGCTCTTAGCTCGACTTTTATCTGTTCATGGAACTTTCCTACTACAACTGTGTCTCTTCGTTTTTTGTGTGTGGACATTCCCAAGCTTTGCACTCTGCCTCGACCACGACTGCCTGTACTCTGTGAGAACTGTTAAAGGTACTCCAAGGTGCAGAGAGGTACTGGAAAACTCTCCACGCCCTGACTGTCCCACTCGGTTACTACAGGTTTGACCCTCGGTTACCACAGCTTATAGCGAGAGTCGACAGGATCCCTCATCGCAGATAAGTCGACAGGATCTTATCACAGAAGAGTCGACAGGATCTCATCACATATATATAAATACTAGCAGAGTGACCCGGGGTACGCCCGGGATTTACCCGAGTGCTTATCTGCCCTAGTGAATATATATTTGGTTAGAGCATTCCTAGCTAAGTAGAATAATTTGAATATATAGTTTTAATATTTGATTTATATATAATTTAAAATGGCCTATCGTTTTCCTCGTATTTTTTTTTACCTATGAATGGAAATTTTGGTACTGTAAAAAAAAAAAAAAAACTTTGCTTCAATAATATAAAAAAAAAACACCCAGGCTAAGTTTCGAACCAAGGTTGTGGAAATACGAAGCCGTACACCTAACCATTAAGCTACACTTGGCATCATAAATATTCGCATGTAAAGCTATTTCAGGCCTTACATATTTCTAACGACCTTTTTGAAATAGGTTTTTGAAACATGAAAATTATAATACTTCAAATAAATAGAAATATAGTGAAAACAAATAAAACATACCAAATATTTCGAATTAGAGCAGATATTTTAAACAGCGAATTAGATCAGTTATATCTAAAAATGAAAATATATAAATCTTCAAATCGAGCGAGCGTCTATATATATTTCGATTTAGATCAAATATTCTAAATGTATGTGTTATTAAGCGAACTATTATTAATAAAATATTGAGAAGATTTAGATTTTAAACGTATTTATAACCTTTTAGTACTTGATAGAGGGCGCTGTTCGTGAGCTAAGTAGAATAATTTGAATATATAGTTTTAATAATTAATTTATATATTTTTTAAAATAGCCTATCGTCTTCTCCGTATTTTTTTTTACCTATGTATGGAAATTTTGGTTTGAATTAGTGAACTACTGCGAATTTGTATACCGGACATACAAACAAACAAACATACAAACATTGCTTTTTATATATATAGATATAATTTTTGATAAATTTAAATTGATATGTTTTTGCATAATTTCAATCAAACATGA